CCGCATCATCGGATCCAAAGTGACCCAACTTGATGATTATCAGGCCCCTAGTCTCGACTCTCGACTCTACTCAAGATCGTCCTCGCCCGTTCAGGTGCGGGGAGTTTGGGTGATGAACCTGTTATCTTGTGCCGTCTTGTGGGGTATCATCGCCCGTAAGGCGATGACTTGACATCTTGGCTGATGGACAAATTTTAGGTTCAGCGCACTCAATGGGACCCCTCCAACTTCAAGGACGGAAGACACGCGAACGCCGAGACTCGGTCACAGTTTGCAGTCTATAGCCGCGAGCTTCTCCGACATTACGAGAGGCGCGATCTTCTCGTACACCACTACCCTGACAAATTTGTAGCGTGTCTTGTAGGCTTGCACCATCCCCTTGCGAATACGAACAGGATGCAGCCCGTCTCGCAGGGGTACAAGTCCATGAACGAAGCCAACGAGTCTGAGATGTGAGGCAAAGATCTTGGCACCTGCTGTCGCTGGCAGAAGGGAGTATGGATGGAATTGAGCTGACTGTGTTTGGCCGCTTTGGATTGATCAAAAGTCAACGGCTACTAGTTGCGCAAAGTATACTTTTCGTCAAAAACATTTGTGGCCTTTCTGAACACAAGTCCTTGGGAAATGGCGGGCGGCTGCCTCTTTGCCCCCATTTGCATTGATTTTTCTCCAGTCGACAACAGCCTGACGCTTGCCGTGCAGTATCTGTAACTCTGGTACATTCAACAATACATCGCTGAACCATGGAGGTCTCGGATCTCAAACTGTGCCGAAGGGCATCAGGCGCTTTGATCTCAACTCTGAGTCATCCAGCCTCCCCTCATCAGGAGGCCTGCTCAACTTGACAGTCAAGCTTCCCGTACAAGCCTGTCCTTCCGCATGCGAACTATCCTTCTGCCCCCATCACGGGCACAGAGTCTCAGGTAACCTCAGGTCATACCAAGACTCTTCTATACTCAGCTTCACCTGACTTCGGTTCAGCTCTGCTGTGCAATCTCGCTTCTCCTTTAGTCAACCAAATGAATCTTCGTCACTCTGAGTTTGATATGCTCCGAACAGAGTCCCCAACTTCCCTTACACGCAACGGTGCGATCTTCTCATCCATCACATCTATCACTATCTTCGCTATCCTGACGGATGGCATCTTATTCGATGTTCAATGAAACGAACACAGTGCACCCTGCCTCAGTGGGGGGGGGGGTTGATATTGAAGGGCTCTCCGAGTCGCTCTGTATGGTTTGAGATGTGACGGGCTCTGCTATATAACCGCTCGCCATACTGCCTTGGTATGCTACCCAAACGTTAGCACAAGAGAACTCTGCTATGAACACCACTGATCCAGCCGCACCTGCGACTTCAGGGCCCTCTCCGCTGGTACTTCCTCAACTTCCTTCGTTGGCAAACACATATGGAGCCATATTCATCGGTAATTGCGTTGCTCTCATGTACGTGTTCAATCCACATATGGCCTAGTAAATGTCAGCATGTGGGCCCTTAGCTCATGACTCTTCTATGCCGACTGTAGGTTATATGGTCTCACTACCTATCAAACCTATCGTTACTTCCGCCTCTATCCAAAAGACTCGATATTTTTGAAAGGCTTGGTGAGTCCACACATGCTCATCAGCATGTACCATATTGACAAGTTTCCAATACAGGTGGCCGTCATATTGTAAGTGTAGTAGTATATCAATCGATACTTCGAATGTCCGCAGTTCAACGTCACGCCAACAGTCTCTCCGAAACTGTGCACGCAATTCTGCCCATACATATGTGGTAGGTGGCATCCCTGAGGCTGGTTTTGCGTCTATTGAGTATAGTCGCATATTGATGATATCATAATGCGTCAGTTACTACCATCTGATCAAGAACTATTTCAACCCCCAAACGCTTGCAGACGATACTTGGTGAGTGCTGTAATGTTCATGTGGTTAGCATCTGCTGAAAGAGTGTCATACTTAGGTCTCTCAGGGTAAGGAAAGGCGCCTGCTTCTCGGTTCATGGCCTAACGTGAAGTTAATGCGACTGAATCGACCCAGCTCACTGCGCCTATGCAAGTACGTTGCATGCGATAGGGTTTACAAATACCTCATCTGACGCCTTATGCCCCGAGATGATTTCAATACTTGTTGTTCAGGGGTAAGAGATTGATTGACCGTGATGCAGCACGGGCATTAATGTGCCTATGCGCATATTTTTTCGCAGCTTCTACACTCGCCGTGTCTATCTCGGTTTGTTTAAAACCTCTCTCCCTACGGGATGCGTGGAATGTTCGACTTGCTGACCTCCCTCGAGTCGGGTCGCGCTACAGAATCATAGTTGCAGCCACGGTATGAGCACAGTACTGATGAGGCCAAGTATCGCCTTCTCTTACTATTGTACCTGCAGGTTGTGCTACTCTTAGCCGAAACAGGTATTGAGTCAGTGAGTTGGCCCTCTTCGGGAGCTGATCAGTGCTTTATCCCTGGTGATAGGATTCATGACCAGTAGGCACTCGTTTCAGTATTGGTGCACGTATGGCTGGCTGACATCCCTTGAGAGCTGAGTATGGAAGCGTACCAGGGACACCAGGTAATACATTGTATTTCTCGTACTCGCAATGTATACGATCGGTGCTGAGGTGATTGTTGACTAGGAGCAGGACTTCACCGGTTTTACGGTGAGTAGTATTTGCTTTTGTATCTAATCGACGCTCATGGCGTCACGGTTAAAGTGGATCGTGTCCGCTGCATTTGGCTTGGCTGTGGCCGTTGACTCTATCTTGGCGGGTACTCTCATAGCGTATCTCCTCGGTGGCCGCACAGGAAATCGGCGGTGAGCAAATATCTCACATTTCTTCTGAATGAAACCTGATCGCATTGGTGGAAGAACCGACGATATGATTCAAACTTTGATCGTGTATACGATCAATACAGGTACATAAATATACATATACTTAGAGCGAGAGAATGCGAGCTCAAAAAAACCTCGCGATCTACAGGTCTTGTAACGAGGTTGCTGTGCTTCGACCATGAGTGCCGAAGTGTAAGCTGATAAAACCTATATCACAGCGTCGCCGGCTTGTTCACGTTCGTGTTCGTGAGTGACTGCGTAATTATGTGTGGCATCTGATCTCATTGGAACATATTTTCAGGCTCTAATTATGCCTCGCAACATGATTTACATCGCCGTGGGTCTCGTGGCCACAAAGTGTTCGTGCTCTGTTTACCGCTCTGGGGAAACTAGACCGCTGACGGAAGATGATTCTAGTATATGCATGCTCTGTACTCGCATTGTGCGTTGTTACCTTGTGGTACGACGTCCAATAGTCGAGATATCACGCTGACGCCTTGATGATAGGTTGAACAGTCGACGGTATCTGTCGAGCAGCCTTGTCGATACCCTCAACACTCAATCAATGCAGTTCAACAACGACACGGGCTGCGTTCATTGTAGCGCCATCCAGCGAAGGACAGCCCCCGAACCGGTATATGTCCTATTGCTATCCAATTCAGGCTATGTCTTATGTTCTTGTGAGGACTCCAGGTCGCAGTGTCCCTCCCAGACCACGGGGACGCCGATACAAGCGGTAATGGCTCCCAGTCCCAAGTCGAGGAGATGCGTTTCCGAGGAGGTGATCTGGAGAGCGCGGCTGGCTTAGAGGCGGAGAAGAAAATGACCGTGGACTCCGTCTAAGGCTTCGAAGTTCAGATCCCCCTGTGCCTCAGCTATTTACTATTTGAACGACGAACGGATTCCGAGCAGCGAGTGTCAGTTTTGTACAGTATTTCGTCTCGGGTACGGCTCCGGATCGGAGCCGGGATCTAACATCTACTACCCCTGTGTGCCATGTGGATGAACCGTGAGGGCAGCCGTTCGTAGAAATCGACTGGTCCAGGCACATTGACGTAGTCGATTACATTGGGGGAAGTGCTGTGAGAATGCTGCGCCAGTGGGATGGTTATGGCCCTGCTCGATGTCGATCTGACTGGCCCACGGCACGATCTCTATCATACGCCCCCTGACTTCTTCCAATGATATGGTGTAAAGCCGTTGACATGATCATGCCTCGTCTGTGCCTGCGCCCGATCAAAGAAGCGAACCGCACAATTTACGAAGCCTTCTTCGACGCACTGATTTCGAGGGGGCCGGGAAAAGCCCGCAGGAGCAGCCCGCAGATCAAGGGCGAAGGCCTCTCCCGGAGCCCCGAACGATAACCAGCACCGGACGGGATACCGTTCGAAAGTTGAAACATGCGCGATGCATTCTATGTAATCCAGATGACGACCGAGTCCGAGACCAGTATTACCGACAGCGTATACACAAGCACGAGAAGACACGGAGTTCTGTACAGCGCGATCCCAACAGTATCAGTATCAGTATACATGCCAAATTTCCAAGCACTACACGTAAACGAACACAAGCGGCGAGCGGCCTCTTTGGGCCCGGGACAAGCTAGCTATGGGGTCAGGTCAGCAACGGGACGGGATGGGGGGAGGGGTAGACCGAGGCACCAGCCTCGGCCACGTCTGAACCGGGCGGTGATTGATACACTGATGAGTAAGGTATTCGGACGCTTCGAGAGCCAATGCCAGCGTCCTGCGTGTTCCAGGGGGACGGGTGTCACCTGCGGAGAGACCGAGTGCGCAGCGGAGGGAAGGAGCGGTGGGCGACGGGGAGGCGTGAGAGTAGTGTGGACGGGCGTGCGGGCCAGGGCGAGCAGGCGGGGAGGGGGGAAGGCGGGAAGGCGATCATGGGAACTCGCTGTCGGTGGGGGACTTGAGCGTCGGGGAGGAGAGGCTCTCGGTGGGCGAGCGGAGGCTCTTCAGGTCGAAGTGTGCCTGCGGGACGCCACGCCTTCTTCAATATCGACGCAGGAGAAGAGAAGAGAAGGCAGGGCCAGGGGCCACTCACGCTGTCCGGCGTCTTGGGCGGGCGGTCGTCTTCGATGATGGTGTGCTGATAGACCTCGAGCTGGGATTGCGGCGAAGGCGGGGCCGTCGGTGACATGCAACCATAATTGATCAGCAAGGGGGGGAGGGGAGAGGGGGGAGAGGCTCACCATAGGGACGCGCGGATTGCCGATGCGGAAGTTGGACCCGACGGAGGAAGTGTACGTTCGGACGCTCTTGCTGCGGATGTGCTCGCGCGCATTGAGCGAGCCCAGGAACGAGTTCGCGTACACTGCGCCAGGAAGTCGACGCGGGTGAGGAAATCAGCCGGCTGGGAGAGGGCTGGCGATGCGGGACGGAAGGACGTACGCTTCGCTTGGATCTCGACCAGGCCGAGGAAGGTCAAGCTGTTCTTCTGGACTGCGAACTGCACAGACGCGGATTACGGTAGTCAGAGATCAAGGGCCAGAATGAAGGACGCAGCTGCGGGTGAACGATCGAGGGACGCACCAGGATGACGCACAGGATAGATGCCGAGCTGTATATAGAAGTGGTCAGCGAACTCTGGCTGTCAACATGGACGGGAATAGTGCGCGGACCAGGTGATGGCGCCTGTATTGACAGCGTAGAGGAGGATCCTGTTGATCATGTTCTTCGACTCCCTATTGAAGATCATCAGTTACGCCGATGAGAAGCAGGGGGATGGGTGTACACACTTTGGCCATTGTCCCATGGATCTCCGGCGCTTCAGGTACACGGTCAAGGTGAGTGCGACGAGGATGTCAACAAGAGCCGCAGAGCCAAGACCGCCGCTAACAGTGACCTTTGCAGACGCATGTAAGCTCGCAGAGCACATGTGAAGATCGCGTGAGAAGGCCTACGAGCGACGCCCTCCTGCTTCGCAGCACGGGCCATGACGGGTAGACGTAGCACAACGCGCAAGACGCTGCACATGGGAGATGCCGAGCGTGAACATCAGCGCGAAACGAGCGACGGAGCTGACGGAGCACACGTACCGACACCGAAACCTGGGAAAAACAGGGACGGGACGCATTCAGAACCATCGTCCCACGCGAGCGCACGAAGCGGAAGTTGTGTACGAACCTACTCGGGCTAGCGCGAACATGCCCTTCGCGAACCGCGCGTCAGGGACCGTGCGTGGAGGAGAGGGACGCGGGCGGACTTACGATGAGTCCCGTCCAGACGATCGAGTTACCGCTGACTGGGCGAGAGGAACGATCGAGGCGCGTTAAGCATCGCGTGGGTTTGACGAGCAGAGCGGTGGGATCTACATACCGATCCAGACGCGCCAGGTGTAGTAGCTGGGAAACGGCGAAGCGCGAGTGAGTGTGATCCTCGACTTCGAAGAGTGTGGGAGGACTTACCCTTGTACGCAGAGAGCGATGCTCGCCTGGGGACATGATCCGTCAGCGAATGTGCGTGCGGAGGTCACAAGAGAGGAGCTCACGCTACACATGACCGTAACCTGGCCGACGAGCGCAAGTGGTCAGAACGGCTAGTCGCAACCTGATCGCGTGCATAGGACTTACTCCAATCCCCCTGTGGAAGGTGATTGAGCAATTGGGAAAGCAGAAAAAAAAGACAAGCGGCGCACCAGTTGATATCGAGGAAGTTGAGGACGTTGCCAAAGTCTACGATGAGGTAGTCGTAGATGAACTGCACGCAGAAAGCGGTGTGCGCCGTTTCCAGAAACCTGATGATAATTTTAGGATATGCGAGACTGAAGACTGGCAGTTGAGATTGACGGACCATACTGTCGCGACCTAAGGTTGCAGATCAGTAAGCAAAAGAGGGTGCCGCAAAGTGAGGATTGGTGCGTACCAAGTACTTGAGGAAGGGCCGGTCGTTTGCATACTTCTGGTAGTAGATTAATGTCTGGAGGGTGGTGATACCATAGAGACTGAGGGCGTGAGGTTGATGAGAATGAGAAGACAGGAGATGAGCGGAAGACGTACATGCATGCGACGAAGACCTCGATTAAGAGGCCGCCCATGACAGGGACAGCGATGTTGACCATCTCGGCAGCGGGTTGACCTCGACTGTGCGGGGGGTGGGAGATGGCCGCCTGGAGAGTCTCTCAACTCAGGGTGGAGGGGGAGAGCGAGGGAGAGACGAAGAACGAATGGCGAGGAGGGCAGTGGATAAAAGAGCAGACAAGAAAGAAGAGAGAGAAGGGAGAGAAGAGGTGTCAGTTAGGGTTCATTCTATGTTTCTGTGCCTCAAATTTTCCGTGGGTAGTGTGGGTAGGGTCGAAGCCGGGGTAGGGATGAAACGGAAGCGGGAGGAAGGAGCTTAAGTTGCCGCACGCGTGACATTGGGTGGTGAGAATGAACGCATATAGTGAGCATGCTGGCGCTGCCCAGTAGGGCGAATGTACGGGCGGGGGTATGACGGGGATTCCTTCATGAGGGGTCAGCTGGCGGTGGAGGGCATCTTATTCGTGGGCAGAACTCACAGTGGGAAGACGTGGGTAAGCCAACCTGCGTTTGCCAAGTACGGCCGAGAAGTAACCGCGATATTGACGATCCGCAGAGAAAGAGACCGGACGTTGGGCACGCATCTCCGCCATCCACGGCCGCTCTCCCCGGCCACGCTCCAGACTCGTCCCCGAAGACGTCTTCTTATTGGTCCCTCGGGTCCCTCGGGGTCCCCCGGCAAGACCGCTCTACGGCAGGCGCGGCCGCTTCTGTGCAATAGTCCCGAAGGCTTGAAGCCGTTTGAGGGGGCCTCCCGCGAATGGCTATAGACCCCGAATATGTCTACCTGACGTGCCTCCAGCTGCACCCAAGCTCGTCCGCCACGACGCTCACAGAGCCAGCTAGACTGCCCTGCTCGTATGTGGGAACGCCTGCTGCTTGTACCGTGTGGCCAACTGGCTGCCGTACCTGGCTGCTTTAGCTGCTAGAGAAGCTTGCCTGACCAGACTGCACTCGTGAACAATACTCTCGCACGGGATCGTTGAGATGGAAGCATACATCCTCACAAGCGCATGCCGCCGCCGCCGCAACCATTCGCGACCACGCTCGAATCACCTCCTATCCCTCTGCAGCTCGGGGTCAACGTACTTCATCCGTCCCCGGCCCTTGAACCGCACCCCGCCGCTCTCCTGCGCACGCCGCTCCTCCTCTTCCTTCAGCCGCTGCGCAATCCGCGCCAGCTCGCGCTTGCGCGCCTCCTCAATCCGCTCCTTCTCCTCCCGCTCCAGCCGCGCGTCGTACTGCGACTCCGTCTCGCTCGCCGGCTCCCCGTCCGCCCCGCCCGACGGCGACGCCGCACGCGCCTTCTTCTCCTTGTCTTTCTTGTGCTTGTGCTTCTTCTTGTCTTTCTTCTTGGACGACTTCTGCCGTTTACGCTCCCGATCAGACGCGGGCGACCCCGATCGCGTCCGAGACCGCCCACGATCGGGCGACCGTGAGCGCGAACGCGAACGCGAGCCCGAACGCGAACGCGACAGAGACCGTGAGCTACGCCGGCGTTTCTTGTCGTGGCGGCGACGCTCGTCTTCCTCCGATTCGCTCGCGCTGGCGGACGTCGACTTGGCTGTATGTATGCGTACGTCGCCGGACGGTTAGCCGGCACGAGTTTGCTTGAAGGGGCGGACACACGGAGACGTACGAGAGGGCTGTTTGGCCTGCTGCTGCGCTTGGGCGCGGAGCATGAGCTCGCCAGAGTTGGCGATCACGACGGGCGCGCGGGGGCGGTCCTTTTCGTCCGTCGGGACGTCTGCGATGCGCTCGACGACGTCGTACCCGCGGATGACGCGTCCAAACACGACGTGCTTGCCTGTGGGGGGACGAACACAGAGGGCGTTAGGCATAAAATAGGCCGGCAATGTCCAGGCAGGTGCCAGAGAAAGTGCAGATTTACCGTTCAGGTGCGGGCAATCGCGTAGGGTGACGAAGAACTGGGAGTTGTTCGTGTTCGGACCCTTGTTGGCCATGCAGAGCAGCCTGGTTGAGGATATGAACGTGAGCGGGGGCGGAGAACGCGGGCGAGCCGAAGAGAAGGCGCGCACCCTTGCGAGTCGAGAGGCCGGGTGAGGTCTTCGTCGGCGAACGGCGCGCCGTAGATGGACTCCCCGCCTGTGCCATTGCGCTTGGTAAAGTCTTGCGTCATGGGGGACGACGTCACGCCGCTTGTTCGATTTGAATGAAGAAGAGGAATGCTCACCTCCGCCTTGGATCATGAAGCCGTTGATGGAGCGGTGGATGATGCTGTTTTTGTAGTAGAGCGGCCGCTCTGAGAGCGGCGAGATGCCCTTCTCCCCCGTGCATAGCGCGCGGAAGCTGTGGGCGTGGTGTCAATTCTAGTGGAGACGAAGAAGGGAAGGTAGGAGACGGACTTTTCGCAAGTCTTGGGAGCGGTGTCGTTGAAGAGCTCAAAGATGATTCTAGCATGCGTCATGGTCAGCTGACTTTCGGTAGAGGGTGGAAGCAGAGCCGCACCTGCCTACGGGCTGGTTGTCGATGGTGACATCGAAGAAGACGCGTGGGCGGACCATGTCGTGGTCGATGGACGGGAGTGGCCCACCGGCGCTGTGGCTGAGGCTGAGGCCTGCGCGCGTCGGCGTTTATTGGCCACATGGCAGCCATGCGGGGCGGGCCGGAGGAGCGTGATGATCGCCGGAAGGACGAATCTGGCCACACCGCTCATCGTCGCCGACCTGCGATACTCGCGTTCGCTTGCGATGAGAGCGGCGTCCACGATTCATCAAGACTCATCCAGCCGAGGAACGGGCGGAATGCAGGGCGTGGCGACGAGTGGTTGGTTCGGAGACAGCCTTCTACGCGCGCGCGGTGACTACCCCTGGCACGCGTTCCTCGACGCCACCAGCGACCGCTTACGCCTCCCGTCCGTCTTTCCCTCCTCCTTCTACTATCCTGTCTCTCATTTTTCGTCTTTCTTCCCCTCTTTCGTTCCGACCGTTGTCTCTCCCTCCTGTCCTCTCGCGCGCTCTGTTTGATCCGTGCGGCCGCCATCTTTTCCATCGTCCCATCGACACGCTACCGCTCGGATCGATAGATAGAGCACGACCGCGCTGTACTAGTCTCTTCTTGGCCCCTTCTCTTCTCAGACGCACTTTCTCGCGATCCCGGATCTGCTCCCGCGCGAGCCTTGCGTTTCGCTCGCCTCAAGTACTTCGCATCTCCCCGTCTCCCGTCTCGACCCCGCCTCGCTGGCTCCTCACAGCAAACAAAGCTGGCGCCCTCGTTTGACCGCAACAAGTCGCACCACGACGTGCGCCGAAGGGTATCGCTCCCGCCGTCCATCCGGAATCGCTTCAGGAGCCACGCAGACTCCGCCGCCGCCGCAGCCGCCGCGTCTGCATTCACCGCTGGGAACACCATGGCAAGGTCCGGCCAGAGCTCGTTCACGAGAACCGGCTCTCTTACCAAGAAGAGTTCGAGTCCCGCCCGCCACCGCGTCGCGGGCCTCGCGGGGGGGCCCGTGCAGAGATACAGTGCCGTTGTTCTGGGCGGTGAGTGTGGCGTCCGTTTGGCTCGCGTCCAGCATGCCTTCCTGATTGTCTCTTCCGGGGATCGCAGCGGGAGGCGTCGGGAAATCCGCTCTCGTGATGCGCTATGGGAAGAACGTCTTCCTCGAGCAGTACGACCCGACGATAGAAGGTGCGTCTGTCTGGTCCCGCGCCGTGCGGGTGGAGCTTACGCCTGTTTTGACGCGTGGCGTGGCCTTCCCAGAGGAGTACGATCTGACCGTCGAGTACGAGGGGAAGCGCAGTTTTGTACGTAATCGTTTGTGCATGAGGGGTGCGGGTGGGAATCTGACCAGGGGGATTTGCGGCAGCTGCACCTCGTGGACACTGCGGGGACGGAGCAGTTCACGGGCATCAATGAGAGTTACATTCAGGTGCGCGCCGCTTCTGCGTACACTGCGGATTCCAATGGCTAACGCCACACAGAGGGGCGTAGGGTTCGTGCTGGTGTTTAGGTAAGGGAGGCCGTTCGGCTTCTGCGGGGCGTAAAGCCTGACTGGACTTCCCGCCTTGGCGCAGTTTGACGCAGGAAGCCACCTTGAAGGAAGTGGACCACATCCGGCAACAAATCCATAGGATCAAGGGCGGCGACGAGGTGCGCTTCCTGGGCTTGACGTGTAGCTCCGGACTTCGAGCGCTGACCACAACTTCTGCGAAGAACGTCCCCATGGTCGTCGTAGGGACCAAGTTGGATCTAGTGAGTCCCTCGTTTGGGCGTGCCTCTCATCGTCTAACGAAATTCCCGTACGCAGATGGGCGAGCGGGAAGTATCAAGCGAGAAGATGCAGGAGCTCGCCATGAAGTGGGGCGTACCGTTCTACGAGACGTCCGCTAAGAAGGGATGGCACGTCAACGAGGCGTTCGACCACCTGCTTGCGAGCATGCGGAAACGGTACCCAGAAGGAGACCCGAAGAGCAAGAGGAGGCGAAGAGACCAGTGCGTCATTATGTAACACGACCACGGTATCCCGCCTCGTTCTCTTGCGTCTCTCTCTGTGCTTTTGCCGCTATTCCGCGCATCGTCGTTGCGTCGCTCGCTCTTCTCCCACTCCCGCTCGCTTTGTGTGTCGTGACGGACCAGATACCGCTAAAATACACAGTACCCGGATCCAGCTACTTCCCATTCCTATCCTAGTACCACCGCACGAACCCCCCGTTCGCATACCATGTATTTCTACTTCTGCCCTTTACGACCCACAGCCCGACCACAGCCACTCGTTACCTTCAAAGCACTTCGCATGCCAGATCCCGACCCGTCTCGCACGCCTGCACTGCCTACATTACTCCATCAGCTGATTGCTATACTGTATACAGCCACAGTGCCTCGGACTGGCGTCCCACCCTGCATTCGTGTAACACCTTACACCTGCGTTCACCTACGGTTCGCATTGGCTCCGGATACGTATACGACACACCACTGTTTAGTAGCCCGCACACATAATCGTCTCTCGTTCGTCGGTAGTCCGTACGCATTAGTGTTCTGATTAGTTCTCCTTCGCACTAGCGACTACCGGACACCTTACATGGTACCGTACCTGGCACCCTAGTGCTGCTGTACACACATTCCACTTTATGCCTATGCATCCTTTGTTCTCAGCACTCAAGTGGAGTCGTTTCGCAGGCGTGGGGTACTTCAATTTGTCAGCGCTCCCAGTTCAGAATCAGCTAAGGTGGGTCCCTCGGACATGCTGAATGTCACGCTCGAGAGACCCCCTTCCCATTCCTCAAGTACCGCAATCCGTAATCCTTCGGAAACTGAATAATTATACTCAGTGCACATGTTCAAAACACTTCCTGGAGTTACAAGAAGATCGGCAGGGCCGATCTCTTTGTGGCAATACAACAAGGTTAGTAAACCCCTGGAACCCTACCCAGATTGACGTTTATCGGGAGCAAATTCCTCCAGATTTCCTTCGTTCTTTTTGGGAGTGATAGTACAGAAGCACATAGTTTTATTTGTAGCGTTTGTACATTTATTGACAGGGAAATGCGAGACCTGGAGGCGTGTCAGTCGCTTCTGGGGTCAGGCGCTTATTGCGTCGCTTCTGGGGTCGCACTAGTAGAGTCCCGGATTGTATCTGCCCAATCTCTGAACTCGGGGTGCAATGGATACCTTGTCAAGCGCGCTATTGCACAATGATTGAGTATCGGCGGTCAAAGGGCACTGACCGAGATAAGGCTGACTTTGATTATGAGCGCCTCGACTAGTGTTCCCTCCGCCAACGTCGTTATCAGACGACTGATAATGGCGGTGTTTAAATCGGCAGTCTTCGGCACCGTGACCATTGGTGACAATCTGTGGGCGCCTTTCCGTCGTTTCTGGGGTCAGACGTGTAATTCCACGATGCTCGAAGCAAAATTCCACCGATTGCCTTCATATTTGACGGGTATATACTGTCTACAATACAGATTAAGTGTGCCAAATTCGAGATTTATGGGGGAAGATGCGATGGAGATATGCACGAAATACATTCTGGGCCGTCGCTTCTGGGGTCACACTAGTAATACTCAGTCATCTCCTTGACGGATTTGGGGTTCGCCGGCAAACGGATGGGCCGAGTGTTACATAAGCGACGTCGGAGATTTTGGGTGGATAATAGGCGCGCGGGCGATGGGCTTTGTCGCCCCGTCTCATCGTCTCTTTTTCCTTCCCATCCTCCATCTCCTTCGTCCGTCCCCGCGCGACGTCCTGCCCAAAAGCTCATAGACCTTTTGCTCTGGTTTTCTTCCTTTCTCCTTACTCTCTTTACACATAATGGTTGGCGTCAGTTGCTGTATGCCTCTTTTTGGAAAGAAAACTCACACTGTGCTCTGTTGCTGCAGTCCTACGGTGGTGGCTACGGCGGTTACGGCGGCGGCGGCAGTGGCGGCTACGGCGGTGGCGGTTATGGCGGCGGGGGAGGCGGCGGCTGGGGCGGGGGAGGCGACTCCCACGACCGCATGAGCAACCTCGGCGGCACCCTGCGCTCCGTTGACTGGGGCACCCAAAAGCTGTCCCACTTCGAGAAGAACTTCTACGTCGAGGACAAGCGCGTTACCGCCCGCTCGGATCGCGAGATCGAAGAGTTCCGCAAGCTCAAGGAGATGAAGGTCCAGGGCCGCAACGTGCCCCGCCCCGTCACCTCCTTCGACGAGATCGGCTTCCCGGAGTACATCATGAGCACCATCCGTGCCCAGGGCTTCCCGAACCCTACCCCCATCCAGTGCCAAGCGTGGCCTATGGCGCTCAGCGGACGCGACGTCGTCGCTATCGCCCAGACCGGTTCGGGCAAAACGATCTCTTTCGCCCTCCCGGCGATGCTCCACATCAACGCGTGAGTTGGCGGTCTGCTTTGGGCGCCGTCGGCGTGGCTTGGTATCTCAGCATGTACTAATCCGGCATGACAGGCAACCCCTCTTGACGGCTGGCGATGGCCCTATCGCTCTCATCCTCGCGCCCACCCGTGAGCTGGCTGTGCAGATCCAGCAAGAATGCACCAAGTTTGGGTACGTCGTCCGTCTCTGCTGTGCGTTTCAGTTCATGCTAACTCGCTTGCAGATCTAACTCGCGCATCCGCAACACTGCCATCTATGGTGGCGCTCCGAAGGGCCCGCAAATTCGTGACCTCCAACGCGGTGTTGAAATCGTGATCGCTACCCCCGGTCGTCTCATTGACATGTTGGAGTCGGGCAAGACGAACCTTCGTCGTGTCACTTACCTTGTCATGGACGAGGCAGACCGCATGCTCGACATGGGTTTCGAGCCGCAGATTCGCAAGATTGTCAGCCAGATCCGTCCGGATAGGCAGACGCTGATGTTCTCAGCCACATGGCCCAAGGATGTGCAGAAGCTCGCGAACGTGAGTTTGTTTCATGGCGTTTCATGAATAACATCGCTGAATCATGTGCCGTGTCACGCAGGACTTCTTGAAGGATTTCATCCAGGTCAACATCGGCTCGATGGAGCTTACCGCGAACCACAATATTTCGCAGATAGTGGAGGTCGTCAGCGATTTTGAGAAGAGAACGAAGCTCATCAAACACCTCGAGCAAATCTCTCAGGAGAACGCCAAGGTCCTCATTTTCGTCGGCACTAAGCGTGTGGCCGACGACATCACGAAGTACCTCCGTCAAGATGGGTGGCCGGCGTTGGCCATCCACGGAGACAAGGAGCAGTATGTGCCATCGATCGCCATCTCTCGCTTTGTCGTTGATACTGATACTGATTGATCTCGTAGACGTGAGCGTGATTGGGTCTTGAGCGAGTTCAAGGCAGGACGTTCGCCCATCTTGATTGCTACGGATGTAGCGTCCCGTGGACTTGGTATGTTCTCATCTTCTAGCAAGCGCTGCGGCCGGTGGCACAGTGGCATGACGGACATTCGCTTCATCGCGAGTGTCCCAGTCGCCGACTGTCGATGACTGGCGAGTCAAGATGTTCGTTTAGGTCATGGTACGTCGACGGAGCAAGACAGGCCAAGATGTCCGACGCGCGCAACGAGACTCGGCGGACTCCCTCCTGATCCTTGCACAGCTCCCTCTGACCTCCACCCTCGCCCGGCTACTGTTGCGTCCTTGGGACGCGTCGTGGTAGCTGCATCATGAACAATCTCTCGAATGTTCTTGGTATGGTATGGTTGTGGTTACGGACACATCGGCTGCAGATCCTGGGACGCAAGTGTTCGCTCACCTCTCGTACTCCGGAACTGCGCGCACAAGACTTGCCTGTCTTCAAGCTCGGACGCATCCTGCCTCGCCGCTGTGTAGGCGAGGTAAAGAGGTGACCTTTTCACGAACAGGACAGATCGGCTGTGATGGCCGCTTCATCCTTTGGGTGGGGCGGTGCTGTCGTCGCGATGCCGTCAAAGCGCTTGTGGTCTTAGTGTTCGTTGGGTTTTGTTATTGACCGTGGCTTCCGTTCCCTCTCCCTTCTATGTCCGATTCACCGCCTCGCTCGGCTCGATCTGATGGTCTGGCGACGTTCGTGCGTGCTCCGTTCAAAATCTCTCGTGCCTCGAATTCGGGCTGCTCGTCTCTGCACGCACAGACGTGAAGGATGTCCGTTACGTCATTGTGAGTTTTCGTCTTCTCTCTGCCGCAATATTTGCCGATCCCGTCTCTTGCAGAACTATGATTTCCCCAACAATTGCGAAGACTACATCCACCGTATCGGCCGTACAGGAGTGAGTGTTTCAGTCATGCATGCGGCTATCTGACTTGCTGACGGTCTTGCTACTCTACAGCGTGCTGGCATGACGGGCACGTCTTATACCTACTTCACGACCGACAACGCTAAGCAGGCCCGCGAGTTGATCGGCATTCTAAGGGAAGCAAAGGCGCACGTCCCTCCACAACTGGAAGAGATGTCCATGTTTGGCGGCGGTGGCGGCGGTCGGAGTACGTCATGTCATTCAGTTCGTTTGTGTGGGGTAGGTCTAACTAGTATTTCATCACTAGGTCGCTACGGTGGCGGTGGTGGTGGACGTGGACGTGGCGGCGGCGGTGGTGGCGGCCGCTTTGGCGGCGGACACGACAACGGGTACGGTGGGCGGAACAATGATCGCTGGTAAGACAATAATCGTCATCGTCGAGCGGTCCTTCCCTTCTTGCCCTTCCCAATTCGCCTCGCCGCGCATGTCGGCGTCGGGCTCGCGGACTTCGTCTATGTTCCCCCAGGCATACACACGCGTGTCGTCATCCTCCATGGTTATCGTGCGTCGGACATCGCATCCCCTAGAGGCTAGCATCATCCCATGGAGAGTTAGTAGCTATATGTTGCATCCGTTCTAGAACTACAGCTTGTAATAGCATCGCATATGCCCGCGTTACATCATAATCCGCGACCGATACAAGCTTACTGTTTTGCTCGCGATCGTGCGTTTCGATCGTATTCGATCCCCCTGTGGCTGGCAAAGCACATCAGCTCTATATTCGATATGTGATGTTGTTATCGTCCCCCTTCTACTCCTGCTCCTGCAAACTCATTGTTTGTACTGCCAAGCCATGACTCGACTGTTCTTTGGGTATAGTCTCAAACCAGCATTGGAAACCATGAAATGGATTGGACATCTGTTGGCTAAACCGGTGCGGCACTCCGTCTCCGGGTCTCAGTCACATGTTAGCTAATTCTGTCCTTTGGATTTACTACTGCCTGCCCATCGCTCGCGGCTCGACTTCCACATAGCCCCCCATGGCCAAGCGCGCTATCGTCGTAGCAGGCATCACCGTCAATGTCTTCAGCTTGGACAATCCAGTGGAGGCCACGGACGGCACTGCGGCGCAGAAGCCAGTTGCGATCCTTTTCCTTCTCCATGGCAGGGACATGCGTGCGGACACTATTGAGCTCGTGGTGAAGGCATTCCTGGATGAGTTGAACACGCGAAGGAAGGATGGTGAGCAGGCCGCGAAAGAGAAGCATGACTTGTGGATCGTAACCTTCGTAAGTGCCTGTACTACCGTGGCCGTCCTGCAGACAATCGCGCCCCGTCGGGCACGGTTTAGAATGAAAGTATACTCATACCCTGCAGGACTTGCCGAACCATGGGCAGCGGATGGTGGACAGCCTCGCGAACAAGGCTTGGGACAAGGACCCGGCCAAGCATAATGCTCGCCATGCGTAAGTCGCGTCCACTGTGTGACGGACGGGCTTGCTGACGAGGTGTTGTTAGGATCGATATGTACGCTTTCCAGGGTGCGGCTTTCTGGCTTGCGGCATCTTTAATTACTGGCACTCACGCAAGCCGGAATAGTCGGGGCTGGTCGCGATGTCTCTTTCCTGATCGACTTCCTTCCGTCCTATCTGTTCCCCAATAACGAGCGGACTATATCCCAATGGTTGATCTCCGGCATCAGTCTGGGGGGACATGCGACATGGAGGATCCTCAAGGACGGTGAGTGTGATATTGTCAATGGTGCTCGTGCGTTCCAATACTGACACCAGGCTTGCAGAGCCTAGGATCCAGCTGGGCATCCCGATCATCGGTGAGTGCGCGGTATTCCGTAGCGTGCACATCCCAGTACTGACGTTGAATATCAGGATGCCCTGACTACCTCAGGCTCATCTCTGATCGCGCCGTACAATCGTCAATACCCATTGAGCCTCCATACTTCCCGAAGTCGTTCCTCGAGTACCTCAAGAAGCACGACCCAGCGAACGCACCGTATACCGCCACAGACAGCACGAATCCCTACCGGGGCAAGAAGATCTTGGTCTTATCCGGGAAGGAGGACACGCTTGTGCCATGGAACGCATCGGAGAGTTTTGTGGAAGGCTTGAATGTCGGAGAGGAAGAGGGCGGGGTGAAACAGTTCCTGGTCGAGCCTGGAATTGGCCATACGTGCTCGCCGACGATGGTGAAAGAGGCGGTGGCGTTTTTGTGGGACCACGCGCTGACCAATGGAGATGTTCCCAAGTTGTAGAGTGGAGATAGTTGGACTGGTGGAGAGAATAAACCTGTAGCAATACATTGATCCAATGATACGGTTGTTGATATAGTATACAACGAAACGAAAACACTTCTGGATGGCTTCGTCCACTACTCTGGGTGGCGCTGTGAGTAGTAGGATGCAAGGGATTATGGGACTACTCACTAGGTCCAAGCTTCATCCACTTCGGATACTTGCTCTTCCCCTCTTCCTCCTTCTTCCCAAACGTGAAGCTACTCTGAGGTTTGCTGCTTCCAGCTTTGTCGTCATCCTTGATAGTAATGTCATCGAAGGTCTTGGGTACTGGGTAGTCTTCAATGATTGCGAGGACCGAAGGGTCGAGAGGTGCGGGAACGTCCGGGTCTGAGTGGAGTTATACACATAAATGCAGTGCATAGAGCCGAGGTGACCGCGACATACGGTTTAAATTATCGTCCTCGAATCTGAGCATGAGCAAGGACGATGGGGCGAAGTTGAGCTCGACGAGGGATAGATTGCGGACAGCAGGGTCTGAGACCTTGTATTCGCGCTTAGGAGGAGACTGGTCTTCTCGACATCGGCGTATGAGGTTACTGTAGGCGCGGATGATAGGACACAGCGGGAGGAGCTCACATAGTACGAACTTGATCGGCTTGACATCCTCCCTCAAGCAACTGCGCACGAACGCGTACACGGACTTGATGTTCTCCGAAGACGAGAAAACCTTCTCGAGCGCGGTGCGATCAGGGAAGCGTACTCTGATCGTTGTCTAGCCATGGTGTGTGGACCGCTTCAACGCGGAAGCTCAAGCTGGAAGCGGGAGAGTGGGAGGCGCACCTGTGGCCAACGTGCCTTCCGCTTCTTGTCTTCTGCCTCGCGTATCGCAGCAGTCTTCAGGGGGGCATTCTGGAGTGCATTGCTCCTAGCGGTCAGGGAGGCCTGCTGGGCAGCGACATCGGCGACGGTGGTGTCGAAGTAGTTATCTGGAAGCTGAGCTACTCAATGGGACGATGTGGTGCGAGTGTGATGGATTGCGAGGGGAGAATATAAATATGCGAGAACATCTTAAGCGGCAGAATTAGATGGAGGAGAGGAAGGAACGACAGACATACTACGAGGCTGCTGAGCTGAAGTGGGAGCACGGAAATACCTAAACGCAGGCTTTGGTGGCTCCGCCGCAGGAGTTTCTGAGGCACTGGTAGATGGAGCAGGCAGTTTAGTTTCGGACATGACTCATGCAAAGGAGTTGAGATGAGAGGCCTGGTGTTGATGTGGGTAAGAGCAAGAACTTGCGTTTGCGGTAGTGGGCTCCCATTACATGCTTCGAGCGCTTGTGTTGCCGTACTCAATCTAGAAGTCACTGGGGCCGTCTGTCAGCTTCGTACTATATTGACATTAACACAAGGTGCGATATTACAAACAAAGTCATGACGGGACCTAAATCTACAGTTCCATCCACTACACAAGATTGCACAGCAGGCAGATATGACGCTAATTACGACAGATATGTACGAAGTAAACGATAATGAACAACAGAACGTCCACAAACAGGGGGCTGGTTGCGCCAGCAAGAGTCTGTTCGATACCTTGATCAAAGTCAGATAAAGGCAGGGCATGCACCTACTATGTGTTCGAGCCTGCCGGCGTATGAGGGTTCAGCGGAACGGTTGACCTGTCAGAGGATCTATGTTTGTGGGGGATGGTGCCTGCAGGTGAGGGTATGAGTGAAGTGGTTGAGAAGATGTCGGCGAGTGCTGCCCGTACGAAGACGACTGCGCAGGCCAGCCTGAGCTGTGGCTGCTATACCGGCTGATTCCGTCGTGCATGAAAGCGAGCGACTGAGCCGCTTCCTGCACGGCGTTGTGGTTCGGAGGATGGTACCCATTCGCTGCCGGTGGCTGCCAGCGAGAGCTCGACATGGATCCAGCAGGGTCATGGGAATCGTTGAACGATGGCAGTGCCGAGGAGGAGGAATGGCTCTGCCGAGGGTCGTCAGCCTTTGGACACGGTACTCCAGCTGTGAAAAACATACCGGGTACGCAGAGGGTATGCGATTACTCGCGTAAACCCCGCCGTTGTGTTGGTACTGTGGAACAAAGTGCGATGCTGGCATCCGCCCCGACATCTGCTCCGGTCTAGCAGCGTAGCCGCTGCTACTTCCACTCCACGAGCCCTGAGGCGAGGGAAGAGCAGGACGGGACAATTCTCGTTGCTCGGGCTGGTAATGATTGAAAGGCAGCCCTGCACTTGTATATGCTCTTGCGTAGGGTACGGGAGGAGAGTTGTTTGCCATGTACTGTTGAGGATAGCCCCCGCCGTTCTCAACGGGAGACCGATGACCGTAACGTGGATCAGAGTGTGCAAACGGATCCATCCCACCGGGCTTCTGCAAGTGGATTGGGCCATGGTCATTTTGCAACGCATACGGCTGCTGATGCACTGGGAGAGGCTGAGATCTGTGACTTATATACGCGCCGCCATCTACGGCACGCTGACGACAGCGTATACAGAAGAACTGTTGCTTGTCCCAGTCCCGCCTGTGGCGACCAGCGCGTTGGTCCATGAGGTCATGGCATGCGATGTGCTGCCAGCGGTTGCAGGAGCCACACGAAACCATAGGTAGTCCATCGTCCTAGGCATTGCTCGCACCTCAAATGTTGTCGAAAGGGAGCGCAGCACTCACCATGTTCAGACCCTGCTTATGACACACCTCGCAATCGAGAACCCAGTCGGGAGTCCGTACGCCGTTAGGAGTGACAACGCGACTTGGCTGTATGGAGCTTGACGGCCCGGTGCCATTGACCGACGGCGTCGCTGTAGATCGTGCAGCCGCAGCTTCTTCCCTGAACCATCGTGTCGACCGATCAGACCGCCGTAACATTCATGCTCATTTAGATTGCACTTTACGCACCGTTCCTGACGCTCGGCCTTGGCTTTCGCTCTGGCCTCCCGTGCGTCGCGCTCCTTCGCTCTTTCCTCGCGTGCACGCTCGCGTCTGACCCGTTCGGCCTCTTCCTTCTTCCGTCGAGCTTCTTGCCGTCGCGAACGTGCCAGCTTTTCTTCCTCTTCCGCCTTCCTCTTCGCTGCTAGACGTGCTTCTTCTTTCTCGCTTTCTTTCATTGCGATGCGGGAAGAACGTTTGCGATGAACGATCGCCTCCTCCAGGCGACGTCTCTTTTCCGCTTCCTGTTCATGCAACATTGCAAAGTAAGGGAACATTGTGTCACGAAATGGGAAACAGGGGTTCACGTGAGGGACATACCCGGAGTTCCTCCGTGACAATCGGGACGATGTTCTTTGTGAGCATCTTGTAGAGCGCCTTCTCGAGATAGTGCGTAGCTTTCTCGAAAGGATCGGCAACGTGTTCCCACTCAGCGAGGGTAATAGCGATCTGTCAAAACCGAACAAAGGTGGTTTGTCAGCACACAGTACGGTATAAAAGGGCGTCGAGGATTAATCGTACCGCTTCCCACTCAACAAAGTCTAGAGGCAATGGCAGAGCCGGCGGCTCCATTTCTTGCTCCTCATCTGGTTCTGGCTCAGCCTCCTTAACAGCCCTCTTAATAAACAACTGCTGCTCAGGCTGCTCGTTGACGGTCCTCGATTTTCGACCCCGTCTGCCAGACCTCCGAACACCGAAGGCGGCCTTGCGACCACGTCTCCGTGGTACCTTAGGGGCCTCCTCCTCCTCCTCTTCCTCATCGTCCTCATCAGCTGGCGGCTCTGCCTCCTGCTCAGAGAGGTCAGTGAGATCGCTGACATTGCCACTCTCGAGACCAGCTTTCTGAAGAAGGCCGTTGTCCTGTCCAGCTCCGTCGGCATTCTCTCCTCCTTCCTCTCCTCCCTCTTCCCTCCTTTCAACTCCATCATCCTGCTGCGCTTCATACTTCCGCTCTTCATCGTCAGCCTGCTCCTGAACCGGATCCTCCGCTGCTTCCTCCTCGTCCTGCTGTTGCTCTGCATCGGGCTCGGACTCCCGCTCCTGATCTTCGTCCTCCTCCTCTTGCCACACTTTGCCCTTACCGCTCCGCGTACGAGTCCTCGTGCGTCTCGACGGGGAAGCAGACTCCTGCAGCCATTCATCAGGAACCTGCTGCCACTCATCGTCGCTGTCATCCTCGTCGCCTGCCCCGCCCGCATGACGTAACCGAGCACTAACTCGAGTCCCGGTAATACGCTTCGCGGGACTCGCAGGAGCACGGGTCTTACGCGGGCTCGAGCGCGCGAGAGCAGCCGCCTGGCGTTGGAACTCGGCGAGCTCCTTCGCCTGGATGTCCAGCTTCTTATTCGCTTGGACTTTCGCGGCCCGCGTGCTCTTGCCGGCGGAGATCACGTCGATGTCGAGCCCGGATGGGCGCCCGTTGCGGCGGGAGGTCCGTGTCGCGCGGCCGCTCGTGTGGGTTTGCGAGCGAGACTGCGACGCAGTCGCCTTGGACTGGGACTGTGTACGAGAGCGTTTGGAACGGATGATAGGTTCGTCCTCCTCATCTTCGTCGAACGAGGACTCATCAGCCTTGACGCGTTTCTTCGGGGTTGCTGCAGGACGCTTGCGTTTGAGGGTGCGGGAACGAGGAGCTTTGGGTGGTGCACGTTGGATCCAGAGGCGGTCAGCTGAGGAAGATAGTAAGTTCAGCATGTCGCGCGATGGTGGCGGAGCGATGTACGCACGACCAATCAACCAATATGCATTTGTTTTGGCGTCGTAACCAATGGGTTCGATGCGCTATGGGGTAACAGACGACTCGTCCATGAGTATGGACTCTATAGCGTAGAAATAGCACGTACCCAGTTGGCCATGTCGTCGTCATCCTTCATCAACTGTCGCAGCCTGTAGGGGTTCTGGAACTGCCACTCGGTGAGAAGGTGGAGGGAATCGAGCTTCTCCAGCATTGGGAGCTGAAGCCAGTCCTTGCTCTCTTCCTCTTCCTCGGCCTTCGGAGGGTTGACGGGTTCATCGTCGCTCTCCTTGGGAATCGTCTCGTCCTCCTCACGAGGCTCAGCTTTCGTTTTAACAGACGACTGGCCATCTTCCTCCTTGGCAGTCTCTGCTGTAACGCCTGCTTCGCTCTGCTGGTCTCCGTCGGTATCCATAGCGTCGTCTTTGGGCTTGGATTCGGCTTCTGAACTATGCTCCTTTGACTCCTCCTCGTCATCCTCGGAGGGCACGAGAGAGGAGTCCCGGGAGGGAACCTTGGGCTCAGGACCAATAGGATTTGCAGTAGGATCACGTCGCATGTACTGTCGACGAAGGGCGGTCTGCCAGTTGTCGATGCTGTGAAGAGGGTAGGAGGTCAGGGAGTAAGCGCTTGATGAGTTGGAGGGAAGCTGACTTGAGTTTACGGTCCTGGGAGAGCGTATAGAGTAGCCGATGCATGATGCGGGGAATGTAGAGGTTGGTGCCCCGCGCAAGGTCGTCTTCAACGTCCTGGAAGGGCGGGGAGCGCGTTAGAACGTGTCGGAGGTGATGGGAATGGTTAGGATGGAGTAATGACACGTCGATCACGATAAAAGAACACGAGAATAGATATACACTTACCGAGAGGAAGACGTCGGGCATGGCGAGGAGAGGGGCAAAGGTGTAGAAGAATTGGGAGAAGTTGGCCCATTTCCAATGGCGGCGGAGAGTGTGGAGGTTGGCGGCCCATTCTGGGTCCTGTTGCTCTAGTGCGGCGAGGTCGCGCGGGGGCGGGGGCAAGGGCGCGGGGGGCGCGGGTGTGGCGGGAGTCGCGGTGCGTCGAGGCATCGGAGGCACAGGCGTCCGACCTTTTTAGAGCACGCCGGAGATCAAGCACGAGAAAGCCGATCAGAGGGACGACAGTGTGCTCGAGGGGGTACTCAAAGCAACGCTGGTGGGTGGTGCAGAGCAGCAAGCGGTGGAGAGACGGTTGGGGGACGGGAGAGACGGCGGGCGGGAGAGTGACGAGCGGGACGATGGGGACGACGGCGGCGAGCGTCCAAGGCGCGAGGCCAGGCACTCCTTGTTTGTAGACAACAAATACCCGCATTCGGCAGTCCATACTATATTTACAGACGATATCCCCCTTATCATTAAACGCTAACCCCGGCCTGAGCCCTCTCTGCCTTGTTCTGCTTCTTCTTCAGCCGCGCCCGCGTAGACTTGGTCAGCTTGCGCACAGCCGGCTGCTGGTACCTGAGATGATATGTCTTAGGGTGCATCCAGTCTCGGAGGCGAGAACACACACGTAGCGCCCCTTCGCACCAAGTCGGGGGCCTCCTTTCGGCACAGCGTCACCCGCATGAATGCTGTTCTCTTTTGCTTCAGACTGGGTATATGTGGATGGGACGGGAGTCACATAGAGGGCTAGCACAGCGCAGGTGGCAGGACACGCACTGGTTTCTTCCTGAGAGCGCCTGTAACAGGGCCTCTTGTCTATCCTGCTCGTCGTTGCCCGATCCTTCAAGAAGCCCCTCTCCTTCCAGGCTACCAATCTCGTTGTATTGGTGGAGTCCAGACAACGATCCTTGTCGCGCGAGCGTGGGGTCCAGCGTCTTGAGATATTCTCGCTTGATAATCTCCACGACCGAGATCAGTCGAGGGATGGTCGACATCGTTGGATGCAAGCCGTTGGTTTTCGGTCGAGCGACATTGTCTTTTTCCCCAGGCGGGTGGCCTTGAGGCGCATCGTCTTGCACGCCTGCCTGATCATCAACGGTTGGAGCCTTGCCTTTGGACGCGGGCAATGTGTGTAACACTAAGGGCGCGGCCTCGTGATTCTGTGCTATCGCCTCACTTCAACAAAGCACGCGATCTGAGGTACTTGTATGCGCACCTTGAAGTGTTCTAACGCAAAAGCGACCCAAGTTTTGATCTTGCCATGGGTTGTTATTCTTATCTCCTTGACCGTAGACGGCCCCGGTTCTGCATTGGTCTCTGACATTGTGCAGATACCGTTCCAAATCGTCCACACGTTGTTTCTGGTGTACGACGCGTGGCCAAGGCGAGGTCACACGAGGGTGACGATGGTGGTAGAGAGAAAGCAAGTATCCAGGGCGGCTCGAGCGCAAGGCCGTCGCGTGCGGAGACGCGTCTGTGGCTGAGCTCCGGCATCACGGACGGGCCCGCTCAGCCGGCTCGGGAGCGTTGGGTTACGCGTAAATCGCTCCAGATATGACACAGCTGCCTTTGTATCTACTGCGACTATTATACACTTCATCAAGTCCTACTCAACGAATGCACTCGTACATCTTGAATTGAGGCGAGACAAAAGGAAAAGGCTCTTCATACACTTGCAATTTTGCCCTGGCGCAGCACGCGATGTCAATGCACGTCTGCACCAGATATGAACGGATGAAACGCACTCGACAGGGCCAAGGACCTTCAAACCACGCACATGCGTGTCTTTTCCATTCATGTGGTTGGTAAGAATGATCACTTGGAGGATGTAGGCTTCAATGTGTTTGCTGCTACCGGTCGTTAGCAATCTGCAACACGAACACCATCAAGGGCTCACAATCCGTCTCCATCCTCGTTTGGCTCCATGCAGACGTCGAACGTAATCCACCCATCCGGCTTCTCCACCTGCAGAATCCGAACATCTTGTAAGTCGACGGGACCAGTTCCTGCCCGCACAGCGATCGTCGCAGGGGTATAAGAGTCATCCATCGGGAAGCTCAGGTACATGGACAACTTCTGTCAATTTGTACATTACGCATGAGCGCGCTGGGCATAAACACAAGATATAGAAAGGCGCACCTGAATGGACACCTTGCGAGGGAACTCGACCGTGATGAAATGTGGTTGTGGTCCATCGGAGCTGGTTCGAGGGTCAAGGACGGTGCGAAGAGGGGAGACACGAGATACGCACTGCCAGAAAGTATCGGGGTCCTCATCTGTCAGACATTCTGCCCCGAAGCCGAACTTGAACGAAGAAACCGACCACTTGGCGAGGTGCCCAATGTCTGGCCACGGTAGCCGGGGCGGCAGCTTGCCTACATGAGATGTCGGACGGTGAGGGGAAGAGGGGCGCGACGTGTCAGTATAGGTAGCTTGGACGTCGTGGGCAGACGCACCTGGGTGCAATATAGGTGCTCCATCGTTGACTGAAGCTGCGGCATTCCCACCTCCGGGCATTCGTCGGCGACCGACGATGGGTGCTCCCGGGACAGGAATACTGCCTGCGATGACTGGGGCAACGGCGCTCGCACTGGCCATTGTTCACGTCGATGGCAGCTGAGAGCGACGTCCGCGTGCGTGTTGAGAGTCAAAAGCCAAGTGGTTCAACGTTCACTAGTACTAAGTTCACGGGTCCGACGGTGGTGGCTAGTCGGAGTGGCGTAGACTCGGTAGCGCATGTCGGGAAAAGCGGGCCGGTCTGAGACGACGGCGGCGAATTTGAAGGCGCGTTAACCTTAGCTTATAAGCTTGCTGAACGGGCTTCTCTCTTCACCACTACTACGGTCTGCTCGTCGTAGCGAGTTATGGATGACCGCTTGACTGTATAATAGATTTCATCATGGCTGCTTCGTCTGTCGAACCTCAACCCTCGCTACCACTAGAGGACTACCGTCGGTATGGGCGACAGATGATCCTCGATGGATTCGGACTGGAAGGCGAGTGTGAACGTTCTCTATGTGCGAGCTATAGCCAATCTCGCGAAGCCAGGTCAAATCAAGCTCTCGCAGGCCTCTGTGGTTGTCGTCGGAGCGGGTGGCCTTGGATGTCCAGCCCTTCAGTACCTCGCCGCTGCTGGTGTAGGTGGGTCTACATCACATGTCCGCGCATTTAGATGCGAACTGATGCACACGATGCATGTCTCACTATAGGAAGCATTGGTATCATAGACCATGACACGGTCGAATTCTCAAACCTACAACGCCAAGTCTTACATACTGAGTCGAGGGTCGGCATGCCCAAAGTGCTCTCCGCCGCGGAGGCGGTCAAGCAGTAGGTAACCGCTGTATGTTCTCTGGCTATATACCGACACACTTTCATTCAACCCTAGGCTGAATTCTAGCGTCAAGGTCAATGCCATAACAAGCGCCCTATCTGCATTGAACGCCATCGAGCTACTTGCACCGTACGACTTGATCCTCGACTGCACGGATAACCTGCCGACACGGTACCTCTTATCTGACACCGCAGTCCGCCTCGGGAAACCCTTGGTCAGCGGTGCTGCTCAGAAGTTTGAGGGCCAGCTCGCCGTCTACAACCTACCGCTGAAGGGAGATGTCGGTGGAGGCGAGCTCAATGATACACCGGCAGTTGAGAGGGGCCCTTGCTTCAGGTGTTTGTTTCCTAAGCCGCCAGCCCCCGAGATGGCAGGCTCGTGTGAAGAACTTGGGATATTGGGAGCGGTGACCGGCGTCATCGGGACCTTGCAGGCTTTAGAGGCCATCAAGATCATAACAGGTTTGCACGGTGCGTGTATGAAGGAGCCATCCGATCGTCCGGGTCTGATGGAGCATCACAGACGGTAGACCATCGTTGCTCATGTACTCTGCCCTGTCAATGCCGCCTTTCCGTAGCGTGAAGTTGCGTTCGGGGAGAGCGACATGTCCTGCATGCGGGGTGGAAGGCGAGAAAGTGGACAAGATTGAGGATACGGACTACGTCGCATTCTGTGGCGGCGAGAGGCCCGACTGGGTGTCGAAGGGACTTGCGGAGGGGAAGCCAGACAGTCGAGTACGCGCCCAGGTTCGTACGTTGTCGCTGTTAGACATTTTCGTGCTGACTGGTTTGCAGGAGCTCAAGCGTATATTGGAGAATAGAGCAAGTAGTGTGCGTGTGCTGGACGTACGTCCGCGCACTGAGTTCGGGATCTGCCATCTCCCAGGGTCCATGAGTGAGTCGTGACCGGTCTGTACACTCAGGCCACGTAACTCAGGCAGTCATGCAGATATCCCCCTCAAGGAGCTCCTCGCGAATCCGTCTCAATGGGACAAGGAGTCCATGGTGGACGATAGAGAAGTTTACATCGTCTGTCGCCTAGGGAATGACTCCCAGCTGGCTGTCGACGCATTCCGGAATGTAGGACAGGAAGGGGTAGTAAAGGATTTGGTTGGGGGTCTAAGAGCGTGGGCGAAGGAAGTTGACAGAAACTTTCCAATATACTAGTTTCCTCGCTAATAACTCACCGCCGGAGTTCGCCGTGCCCCCACCGAGCTGCCAGCAATGCACAGCGAACCTCTAGCTTCACTGGTGAATGGTCAAAGGCCCGCAAGGGGATGCGTATTAGATGATATAGTATATGACGGTAGAGGCCAGGGTGATTTTGTACGCGTTCATGCATTCTATAGCGACGGAGCCTGGCTGTCGAGTTTCTCCTTCTTGAGTCGTGTGACGTAGGTTCTGGTGATGATGTTGACTGAGGATCGTATCGTGTGTCAGAAGAATGCGCACGAGTAAGAGATGAAGGAAGACAGCGTACAGGCTTCGAGGTATCGGTCCATACATTGCGTGAGACATTTCTGTAGAAAGACGTTGAGAACCGGGCGAGCTGATGTCACGCACGTGCACATACCTCTTCTGAGCTGGTAAGGGAACTGCCAGGTTTTGGTACGCATTTGGAGTAGCACTTGTCGTGCATTTTCTGCCCATGCGAGGAGGATGAGGCATGGATTGGGCGACGATGTGGGTGGCCGTGCTTACGGTCATGAGCTCTTGTGCATTTTGGAAGGCAAGTTCGCTGCGAATAGAGGTCTTGATGGACTCAAGGCGAGCAGCCACCTCTGCATAGGAGATGTGTGAAGAGATGAGTTGTGGACACAGGGAGGACATACCTGCGGGAGAGGAGGGAGAGCTGGTCGGGCTCCTGCTGGCACCGAAGAGGGAGGTCATTTTGGTAGGCCTATAGAGAGAGGCTGCGATGCTGTAGACTAATTTACGACTGCACTTCTAGGCCGACTGTGAGACGGAGATGATAGAAAGCTCAGACAGCGGTACACGCTTGCGCTCATGCGACTCCCGCTCGTGACGCCTCCCAGCGCCTTCGGCTAGATCGGCCCTGGGCGCTAACACACTTGGAATGCTCTCGCGTCGATCATCCTTGCCTCCTGAACACCTCCATCCGTTACTTCACCTTGACCGCTATTTCGCGTTTCCGTCTGAGATACACCGCATCAATAGAAATATTCCTTAGACATGGGGGCAGGAGCATCGACCGCACGAGGTGCCGAGACGGAGGACGGAGCAGGCGGTCCACCAGACTACTATGCTTTGCTCGAGGTAGAAGAGTCCGCCACGGCAGAAGAGATCAAGGTATGAGACTATCGCAGTTTGTCATGCGCACCGTATCTCATCGATCCTATTCTGTATCTCTCCCCTTCACATTCCTCCTGTGAACATAGAAATCGTTCCGAAGACTCGCCTTGGTTCACCACCCAGACAAGAACGCGCACGACATCGAAGGCGCAACAAATCGTTTCGCAGCCATACAGCAAGCTTACGAGGTCCGTCGACCCTGCGACCTCTCGCGCGACCTATACCGCCAGAGCTCACACGTTATCTAGGTCCTCAGCGACGAGCAGGTTCGTCTCCCCGTCAATCTCCAATTGGCTTCTCTCATCTGCTATAGGAGCGAGCGTGGTACGACAGCCATCGTGCTTCATTGATACCGGAGCCAGATGCTGCTGCGGTCTTTGAGGAGATCAGGAAAGGCGCTCCTCCGCCTCGGGCGCGGGATCGCGGACTCACTGTCCGGCACCTCGCGCAATTCTTCGATACTTCCATTGTGGACGGACTTGATGACGGGCCAAACGTACACGTTCCTGTTTCTCTGATGCTATCTCGGCTCAAATTGTGACGACCTCACTTAGGGCTTCTTTACGATCTACCGCAATCTCTTCGATCGGCTTGCGCACGACGAAAAGCAATACGACGACACACCCCTTCCCTCTTTTGGCCTCTCTACCTGGCCGTGGCTCCCGCCTACCAAGGAGGAAAAGAACCAATGCGCGCGTACATTCTACAACTACTGGATCAATTTCGTAACGAACAAGGAGTTCGAGTGGGCAGACCAATGGAATATGGCCGAAGCTCCGGACCGGCGTGTCCGCAGGTGAGTAGTGTCAGTTTCCGTGCCCTACCTAGTCTCAAGTATTCTTTTTTTAGGTTGATGGAGCGTGACAACAAGAAAGCGCGAGACGAGGCCAGGAAGGAGTATAACGACACAGTTCGGGTACGTCATGCGACTCGATCTCCCTTGGTCCGCGTACCTTATAATGTGTTCCAGTCCCTTGCGACTTTCATCCGCAAGCGCGATCCTCGCTACAAAGCACATCTCGCCCGTCAAGCCCAAGGTCAATCTACTCCTCAGGGTGCGCGCACGCCTACCTCCCGTCTGACAGCTACCTCTTCTCCGGCGCCACAGCCTGTTTACGTGGAGCAAGAATGGCAAAAGACCGCGGCAAGAGACGACGCGGTCGATCTAGAGTGGGCTGCTGCAGAGGGAGAGGACGAAGAGGAATGGGAATGCGTGGCATGCGGGAAGAGCTTCCGTAGCGAGGCAGCTTGGGACAGTCATGAACGCAGTCGGAAGCATATGAGGGCGGTGGAGGCGCTAAAGCGGGAGATGGAGCAGGAAAACGACGAGCTCGGTTTGGACGGAGACGAAGAAAACCAAGGGGATCCACTGGAGAATGCGGGGCCTCCCGACTCGGGGTCAGACGAAGACGAGGTTGAGCAGCGGGTTACAGATCGACCCGAGCAGCCTCCCGTAACCGACAGTAAGCAAGGTGAGCTTGCGGAGGCAGTGGTAGAGGAGGAGGGAGTCCAGGCACCGCTGCCGAAGAGTAAACGGAAGAAGGCGAAGAATACTTCTGCGCGTTCACCTTCACCCGAAGTCATCTCGAAGAGTCAGCGGCGAACGCGGAAGCGAGATATTGATCCAGATTCTGTGGGCGAAGATCTGGCCGTTGGCAACATTCAAGATGGCAGGGCTAGCAGTACGACACAGAGCGAGATGCAGGAGCGGGGCCCGACAAAGAAGGAAAAGCGCCGCGCACGAGAAGTTGCTAAACAGGCATCTGCAAAGGAAGTATCGATCCAAGAGCTGGTATGTTGTTCCTTCTATTAGACAGGTGGTGTAGAGCTTTTAAGCGCATTATAGGCATGCAACATGTGTCAAGCCAGGTTCCATAGTAGGACACAGCTCTTTGCTCATCTGCATGATGTACCTAGCCATGCACTAGCCTCATCTCAGTCAAATAGTCAGCGAGGAACCCGAGGTAGAAGGAATTGATATAATTATCAACTCAGCTATCAAGAGATAAGACTGGAATGCTATTTAGATGTGATGACCAAAGGCAACATGACAGATGGAGTAACTGAGAACATCAATAGTGGCCTAAGAGTTGGAACATAGTTGTTATAGTCACACTCTGCATAGTGCTTATGACACTTTTTTGTTGCCTCTCCATGGTTTAGACTAGGATTTTCCCTCAACAGTATCAACACCACTATAGATTCCATCATATTCCACCCTCACATTTCTCAGTGCTCCGTATAGTGCCCTGCCTGTTATGCTGAAGTACTAACACAAGTCTATCTAGACTTATCACACAGACTTATCTAAGTACACAGTGTCGCACACGGGGGAAGAGAGTATCACACAAGTCCCTAGATTGAGGGATATAGGGATACAGGAGGTAACAAAGAGGAGAACAGAAGTGGGGAGCCTCTACCGACTACAGGCCTCCTTATATACTATGGGGTACTGACCATATTAGGAAGGCAAAGTGTTGAACAGGCACTGGTTTACATAGCTTGCCTAACACAGCTGTCACAAGATATGGAATGGCACAACCGGTTACTGCAATAACTGAGGCTGTACTACTCATGTGGTACACACACAGCTTCGCTGTGTACGCACTACTTCTCTGTGCAACTGTGCATCCTGGGAATGTACTGTATAGTTCATGGACGGCTCCCATGAGGGAGGGGAATCAAACCACCGTTCTCCTTCTACGATGAAGGTCTCGGAACCATTCAACAATTCTGACTTTCGTCAGCGAACACTCTTTTTCCCCAAGATCTACTTGTAGGGATGCCTTGCTTATTCGAAAGAAGCTTTGGCTCGAGATGTACTGTATAGTACTATGTAGCCACAGATGTACAGTAGTATATATCAGAGACCTCTGTACCCCCAACATCTGGGAAAACAGCCTTTGCAAATTGACACTAATTATCACTATTCAGATAATCTCATCTATATTAGCAAGTGTTAGCAGAGATGGCATCTACATTAGAGCTACTATTCAGACGCACTTCTTTAGTAGTGCAACTAAGCACTAATTAGTATACTTGGTACTAGTTATAACTACTCTTCACTATCACTTTTGCTATAGTGCCATGTAGTGCCAACATAATACTACTATAGCACTACTGCAAATTTGGTCCTCTAATTTTCACTATTTTGCACTACTGTAGTACTATTTTGCGCTATTTTAGCACTACTTCACGACGGGCATTGGCCAATGTCCCGGACCCAAACTGGGACAGAGAAATGGCCTGGGAATGGATGCCTGTCACGGGTTATGTCCCAAAGCCTAGCTCCGGACCTGAGCCATACAGCGCTAAAATCCCTAAAGGGGAATACCAAGGCTGACAAAGACAAAGACATAAGCGTATATACCCCTTGTTGGACAATCTCGAGCGCCAATATCCTCTTTATGGTATCAGAGTGCCCGCTGTCTCGGGTCCGGAGCTAGGCATTGGGACATGACCTGTGACAGGCATCCATTCCCAGGCCATTTCTCTGTCCCAGTTTGGGTCCGGGACATTGGCCAATGCCCGTCGTGCTTGTTGAACTTGGACTTATCCAGTCCGGACTACACAAGGCTATGCGTCTCCTAGCGCTTAGCTGTAGTCGCTCATGTAGTATGTTACCATATTTGGGACTCTCTACTCGTGTACTATAGCTATGCTTCCGGACTCTTCTGGTACTGTCTAGGACAATCCGTACTACTCCAGAACGGTCTAGACAGGTCTATGCCTTACTCATCTCTTACTCATCCTATGGTGCGATACATCACAATTCTTTCACCATCGTATTATTCATCGCACTATGGTACATGTGACTAACCACTCTTCGATTAGTCATGGACACTTCTCTGTAGTATATAAGGACTTCAGATTGCATCCTCCCTCTTCAGTCTTTCCTTACTGACTGAAGAGTGAGCACTTCGTTACATCTATCTCTAACTTGTAGTTACTTACTTGACCTTTGTAGTCTTGCTTCGACTCTAGGTACAGTTGGTTATTGCAATATAGTCTTTCCTTACTGACTGAAGATCTTGCTTCGACTCTAGTCGGATCTAATCTTTGTCTTCACAGCCCCGAGTTTATCAGGTTATGAGCCCTGTGCTCTAACCGAAGTTTTGTGTTGACATTTATCACTGCGTGCACCCATCATCCCTCTCTGTCGACACTCGGTTCTGCCCGTGCATCCCCTCCACTATCCCAAACTCTTGACTGTGCCTGCCGACACTGCTGCCACGGTGACTTTGCACAGTTGTGCCCATGAGCGCTTTTAGTCTAGTATCTAGTATCGTGTAGCACCCTATTGCGCTTTCGAGGCATACGGGGTTTTAGGTATCCCTGTGCCAGGCCACGCACTTACGCCCGCCAGCACTTGTACTGGGGTCGTTAGTGACCTTAGGACCGGAGGACAACCGTGTGGACCCTCCTTACGATAGCCTTTTACATACATACCTAGCTATTTTTTCTTGGGCACAGTTGGCGACTTCTACCCGGGTTGTAGGCATCTCCAGCTTGCTTGCTTCCTGGTTGCCTCAATAGGTGTTCATATCTTGTCGCTTTTGCACGTGGCTCTCCATCTTACATCGCGTTTCCCTGTCTTCTGGCTGTTTTGGATCCGACAACAGCAGCGGAACCTTATATCTCTTCTGACGAGGAGGTCGAGCAAGCAATTGGCCCTAACCATCCTGCCTCCGAAGAACAAGAACCTCCTTTCGATTGTCAAGGTCTATCTCACATCTACGACCTTGAGGACGGTTGTGATCGAGCATACAAGCTTGATACTGCAGAGTGGCGCCAGTGCGACGAGGATATCTGTCCCAATCGGTTTTCAGGACCACTTAGTCCAGAAGATTTTCCCTCGAGCTTCCCCTTTGCCCTCTGCTCCGATCCTCAGACAACCGAACCGTTTATCCGCGCTGCTGCCTTTGGGTTACCGGACTTAGAGCCTCCAACGCCAGTCCCGGTATCCATCCCTCTCTTCTATCTCAAGCAAGACTTCGATTCTTTCTTTGGCGTTCCACCTCCATCGCACTCAGACGACTTCTTTGATCGTCATCTCCTACTCCATTCCCTCGTCATGTCGGACAAGGTCGACTCGAGTTCTCTCACGTCCCTTTCCAACATCAACCAGTACCCCAACTGGGCTGCGCAGATGAAGGGCTATCTCATCATGATTGGTTCCTGGAACGTCACCAACTCGACACCAACTACTCCCAGTGACGGTGAAGAACTTAGGGAGCACAAACTTAGGATTCAGCGAGCCCAGGGTATCATCATGATGAAGGTCGATCGTTCGCTCCATCGTCTACTCGAAGACGATGATGGCGACCCCAAGCAACCGGATGCGATGTGGATGGCACTCAAGGACAACTTCGGCACTCCTGACACCACTGCTGTCTGGTACAAGTTTGAAAGCCTTATCGCTTCGGACCGTATGGACGACCAGAAGCCCATCCAGCACCAGTTTGACCAACTCGTCACTCATCTTAAGGAAATCAAGGATAGTAAGCTCGAGCTCCCTGAGAACCTTCAGGCGATGCTAGTTCTGTCCAAGATTCCTGAGTCCTATCACAACCTGATCTCCGGCCTTCTCACTTCAGTCAAACTCAAGAATCTGAAGGTCGAAACGGTTCGCAAGAAGACCCTCGCCTACGAGAACATCCAGAAGACGGGTATAGCAAACCGCACTTCAGCAACTCGTGTTTCTCAGACCAAGCCCAAGAAGAAAGGCCCTTGTGGTCACTGTGGCGGCAAGACTCACAATGAATATTCTTGTTGGAAGAAGTATCCTAAGAAGAAGCCGAAGGGTGGGGGGAACAAGAAGGACGAGAAGGGCAAGGGAAAGGACAATGGACCTCCGCATAATCACTCGCACACTACCATCAATGAGTCTTCGTCGGCCAATGTACTAGTATCTACTACTGCTGAAGCTTCGCAATCGATCTCCGCTTCTTTCTATGGCTCGTCTTCAGACAATTATCGATTGACTACTTGGCTGATGGACTCAGGTGCTTCGGAACACATCACTGCTTACTTCGACGACTTTGACACCTATGAGGAGTTTGCCTCTCCAATGGTCTTTGGCACTGCTGCAGCCGGTTCGCCGCTTTATGCGCCCGGTGAAAGCACTGTTCGTGGTCGTACATGGGTCGAAGGCTCTTGTTGGGTCAATACCACCATTAGCCATGTCGTTTATCTTCCGAATGCATCGTGCCGGCTCTTCTCCTGTGGAGCCGTTGAGCGGAAAGGCCACACCCTTGTTGCTGGTGGAAAGTGCTGTTCTATCTTCTCTCGGTCGCTCTCTGAAGCACCGAAACTGGTATGACGATTGAAGGAACTAAGATACTCGAGGGGAAGTGCATCGAAACCTCGAATGTCTACTACATGTTCCTCCAAATTCCTGCGAAAGGCGACGCAAAGGCTTCTGTTCAGCCGGCTGTCACTTACTACTGGACGTGGCATCGTCGACTTGGACATCCCTCCAAAGAAGCTATTTCGCGTCTGCCTGCGAACTCTAAAGGTGTTGATCATATCGATCCTCCGCCTGCTAACGCGCCTGTCTGTGAAGGCTGCGAGTGGGGCAAGTCTCATCGACTACCGTTTCCTCCCTCTGAGAAGCGTGCCACCGTCCCTTGCAAACTCATTCATACTGATGAGGACGGACCCATGGGTACGG